CACATTGTATTGAGGCTAACACTAGTGTCTTTAATCCTGCATTGTCCAGCCTTATGGGCATAATTAAACAGCAACATTAAAACCGGACTTCCATTTTTTCAAATTACAGTAAACATCATTTTTGGGATGTTAACTAAAGAAAGAATGGACAATTTCTACATTATAGGTGATTATCTGTAGCCACTATTAAAATCTTGAAAGCATGTGGCTCAAAAATACAAATGTGACTTAGGTCCTTTGACTGATTTGCTTAAACACTGGTGAGCTAAAATTTGACAATTACTTACAGCTATTTACTCATTTGAGTATGTAAAACATACAGTTGTTTCTGGCTCCCAGTCAGCACAATTACATTTTTAGTTAAAATTTTATTTTCTTCTCTAGGGCCATGCCTAATACTAGTTATTGCTCTCTTTAAAACAAAACTCTCAGAAACATATACATTTTTTTGTCACTAATTTTTTTTTCAGTCACATCGACCTGCAACTTGAATATTAAATTTTATTGTTACTTATGTATTTTGATTTTCCAGAATGACTTTAATCATTCATATCTGTATGTATTTGAAATTGAATGCAATCAATATTCTCCAGTTGTTACACCAGCTGATAGACAAAATCGACTGTTATGACTCTTTTCTATTTATTTTCTGCTCAAAGTTATTTAAATGTGCTGTAAAAATGGCATCAAGGTAATGCTAAACAATAAAATTTAAATGGAAAAACACAAAATCGTACAAGTAACTATGGCATCAATTGAGAGATTTGTAAATGAGAATACAATTTAGGAACATAATTATAATGTTACAGCTTGATGTTATTTTATATAAAAATGTCTTGAACAATATATGTCATTATGTTGAGAATTCCAGCACTGATCTTAGTGATCATTTCTGAGATGCATTCTCACCAAAAAAAAAAAAAAAAAGCTGGGTTTTTAAATGTTTTAAAAATCATTGATTCCCAGTGATGATTCCAAGAAACATTCTTGGCAGTGTCCAGATAATTCTTCCACATATCTCTCATAAGAAGAAAGGGATACCACCCATCTATGCTCGTGGCCTACACATATTAATTTAAAACCACAAACATCTAAACATATACCTTGAGGTTTATCCACAGTTCTCTGAGGTTTTTTTTTTCTTTGAATTAGAAGAAATTGATGATAAGCAATCACCATGCTTACCAAAATGCAGAAAATTAGTAGAGTGCCACTAAAAAGATGTTTTGAAAAGCAGCTCCCAGAAATCAAGGAATCCCTGGTTTGTTTTCTTAGAATGAGAGATTCTATCTCAGATGAGACATCTCTGCTTTTTACAAATGGGTGAAAATGACAACAGAATTAAAGGTTCCAGATATTATTAAATTTGCTTGTAGTATCTGACTAAGGGATGTTTAAGTCCTTCCGTTCTATCACAAAATATTTGAGAAATCAGGAATTCATCAAGAGTTGCCAATTTAATGAAATGTACTAATGAAATTGCTCTGTGAGTATCAAGTTGAATTGTATGCTTTTGTTTATTTGGCTATAATTTCATCAATGAATTTCAAAAGAAAATCCAAATCAAAATTCATCACCGTAGTTAATCAATATTGGAAGTCACTATGCTTTTAGTACTTTTAGAAATAAAACTACTACTTTAATTAAAACATGTGATATTCTTTGACAATCTTCTACCTTAGGATACATAAGGTTGTTTTATTTGTACAGCTAAAAACAATTCCTTATAAGTTTAAAAAATTATTATTCCTTATGTTAGGATAAACTTGTTCATTAAAAAGATACATGTATTAGTGCCTACCTTCATACTACTACAAACTTTCCTATATTTTATCTATAAATGCTATCAGGTAAATTAAGCCTGGGATAGTATTTTCAAAAAGATTAAATAGACATATTGAGTTAAATAAATGCCACAGATTCTTTCCTTTTGTATCCTCTATTTTAAATAATTCTTGGTAGACTACTGGTACACCCTGTGAAAAAAGAAATAACCTCATTTCCATTTTTTCAAGTTTGAATGCTGAAGATTTATGTTTGAATGAGTTGATGGGCATTTTGGCTCCAGTGTATTTCTGCACCTACCAAAAGGAAGAATACAATAAAAATGGCACTCTTGTCTATGCAGAGGATTGTTACTACGTTTAGCAGTTACGTTTCACGTCTGAGGTAGTTCCTTAGGTACTAGGAAGAAAAGGTGACCTGAGATAAAGTAATGATTTTATGCAAAACTGCCTTCAAGATCTTCTCATCTTAGTATTTCTTTAACTTTTCCCCCTCTGGAGACAGTGTACCTTCATCCTCCAGATCCTGGTATCTTGAGATTTTGTCTATCTTTCGTATCAAAATCTATGATCTATAAAAATTTTGACTAGATAGTTTTCATTATGTTTTCAGGTGTCTTTGCATTTTAGCATAAGCCAGAACTTTAAGATCAATGAAGAATTCTGTAATGGTTCAATTTCAGGTCTTCTTCAGGGAGATTCGGTAGTGGTGTGGTATGTTAGAGGACTTATCCATTGTCCTCACTCCTAAGACCTTGTTTTAGCCACTAGAAAATATTTAATTAATGCCAGTACTCTTTCCTCTGCTCTGTAAAAAGGCAACAACTGAAGTAATTTTCAAAAATGTTAGAAGCAGTCTCCCCTCCCCCAACCAATAGTATTATTTATCTATTGGTGGTTGACTTTGGCCAATAGATTTTAGGTGAACCAAATTCAGCTGAAATGACAAATTTACAAAAATGTCAATAGATATAGCACTTATATAATGCTGATTTCCTCCTTTTCAGATTTCAGCACTGTGAAAAAGTAAATTTACAAATACATGCAGCATAGCTGAATAAGCAATGATGAATAAAAATAATTAGTGATCTGATGAGGCACATTTCTCAGAATTTGGAATGGATCTAGAAACAGTGCCTTAAGAGTAAGGCACTTACAGGGTAAGGAATGGTATGAAGGTAATTTTTAAAATTCAAGTCCTTTTTCTCTAGGTTTGAATACATATACCAAACGTATATGTAACAAAAAAGTTGGTCTTTCAGTTATTTTAGCATTTTATATAAAAACGATTCTTAACTGGGTACTGCCATTACCTTAACTCTCCACTTCAGTTTGTGCATGTGGAAAAGAATATAACAGGGGAATAGATTACAAACGCATGTGCTAGAGATAATCCTTCAGAGTGCATGGATCAACAAGAAACTAGGGTATTTTCGGTGTTTAATGTGAAATATGAGGGGCTAAAGAAGAGGTATTAAATTTCACCTCATATATATAGAGAAGATAACCTAATGGCTGAAAGTACAGGCCTCTTTTTCAGGGTTTCCACACCCTTACACTTTGAAGAAGGATCTTTGGGGAAGACATGGCAATAGGAAACTCCAGGGGGAACAAAGCAAATTATAACGCAGTGAGAAAAAAAATGATGTAATGGGAAAGTCTGATCTACTCATCTATGACTTCAATAATGAGGCAAACACCGACCTCTGAACTGTAATGATCATCAAGTATCTTTTAAAATAAACATATATGCAAGTCAAATGGATTTGGACATGTTAATTCAGTTTTACATATATTAACTTGAAAAACAGATTCACAATAAAATGTTAAAGGCCTTAATGTTGACACATATATGCGTTTTTATATTACTTGAGTATAATGCCAACGGCCAATAAGTAGTAAAGTTTCAAACAATGAGAAATCATTATAATCTATAAAGCCATTCATGTATAACGGAGAATTTTGATTCTTAGGAAAAAAATCTATGAATAATAAAAGGTACTAATATACAGCTTAGTAACAATTTACATAGCAGTGACAATAATGCATTTCATATACTGCTTTCCTTTTTAATATGAATAATGGGCCATGTTCCAGTTCAATGGGCAATCTAATTTTTTTTTAATTAACTTCTAAGAAAAGGTAATAGTCTCATTTTAAAAATGCACATTTTGTGAAGGACAAAAATTACTTAAGTTTAAAAATTATATCCTGACTGAAGTAGAAGAAAATTCATTACATCCTTGCCTTTCATCAATCAGAATCGTATTTTTATAACTTTGAAGATAATGCTTAATAAATATGTTATCAATGTTAAGAGCAACATTTCATGCTGAAGAGTGATGTTTCATGCTGAAGAAAAATGCAAAAATTCTAGTGCAACAATTTCCTTATTTTTGCCACCTTACAAGGTGAAAAGAGAAAAACGATCAGTCAGGAGGAATGTACAAGGCACATTTCTTTTTAAGAGATGGAGTCTCTGTTGCCCAGGCTGGAGTGCAGTAGCATGATCATAGTTCACTGCAACCTCATACTCCTGGGCTCACATGATCCTCCTGCCTCAGCCTCCCAAGTAGCTGGGACTACAGGCGCATACCACCATGCCTGGCTAAGTTTTTAATTTTTTGTACAGATGGGGTTATGCTATGTTGCCCAGGCTGGTCTTGAACTCCTGGCCTCAAGTGATCCACCTGCCTCAGCCTCCTAAAGTGCTGGAATTACAGGTGTGAGTCACTGCACCTAGTGTGTACTAGGTGCATTTTAGTTACTAATATAAAATTTCATTTTCCTACTGTTTATAAATTACTATTACTATTTAATGAACTGATTTAAAAGAATTCTATAAACTATCACCTAGCTTCTTCTAAAAGAGTATGTGGGTATAACAAAAAATAGAAGATCATATCATAAAAATGAACCATCTTATTTTCATTCTATTCATATTTTGGAATGAAATAAATTGTGACCTTTTGGAATTATGCTTTAAATGTTTACAAATTAAGGCAGAGTTGTTTTTCATTTGGGTTTTAGATACTCTCGGGTTTCATCACAATTAAGCCTATTAGAATAGCTGTGAAGAGATCATTTCACAAACAACTTTTCAAAAGCATACAAGATTAATCCATATGCTGCTGAGATGAGGCACAATAAAGAAGCATTACTGAGATAATCTATGGCTAAAATGATGGTGTATGACTTATGATTAAGCTTCATTACCTGCAGAGCAAGGGGCTTCCATCTCATATTTTTCAGTAAAGCTGGTGCTGAGGTAAGCATGCTCTGAGGTCGCTTTTTCAAAGTTAAGATAACACCACTCGGGTCCTCTCGTAGTGCATTCACCAAATTTTTCAACTGCCACCCCACCTGGTAACCAGCAAAATCATTACAATAAAATTGAGGTACAGTATTCAAAGATTTAATGTTCTCCCCCTTTAATAAGATTAGTAAAAAAAAAAAAAAAAAAGTCACATAATTGGTGTACCATCCTATCAATTTTCAGGAGATACATACTCAAGAAATTTTATCTTTGAATTGATTAACCATGTTATTGCATTAGTCCATATCATTATGAGACAACATAATGGACATTTACCATGTCAAAGCAAAGACTAAAATGGTATCCTACCAATGGAGTACTTCAGAATGTAATGAAATTATGTCACCATTAATGTGGCTCAGCTGCTAGGTCTAGATCCAAGCTCTGTTCACCAGTATAGTTAAAAATCTATATGCCTGAAAACAAGGATTTGGCAATGTCCTCAGCTTACAAACTACACCACAAGCTTACTCATCACCATCTTTTAGAGATAAGTGGTACCAGTGTCTCTAAATTAGACTGATATTTTACTACCAATAGCTGGTACTGACATACCAAGGCAACATTCTTATGCATGGACAAGAGCAGCAATACAATAAGCCTTTTACCATGCTATAAAGACAGAACAAAAATAACAAGGTAACACTACTCCAATGAAGCAGCTATTGGAAATGTGTTCCAAACAACCCTATAAACTTAAAATATAATGTGCTAAATTTAATGAAGTCATCCTATTTGAATATCACCTAAAAACATATTGTGTAATTAAAATCAAAGTACTTGATAAATGTCTTGAAATCGGGCTCAACTGCACCCCGTTAAAATTACTTCACTCTTCATCCTTTTAAAATTCTGAACATAGAATAATTTTTGTTACTTTGCTTTGAAAACGGACTAGTGATGCAGTATCAAGTAACTGAAATCCTAGAAACTATGCTTTAAAGAAACACATTAAAATGTCTATTATTCCAAGTTGTTTAAAAAAAAAAAAAAAACATTTCACATTTAAAAGAGAGAAGAACCTTTTATCCCAAACCCTAATGGATTATACTTTTCCAGGATGTGTTATATAAACACACTAGGTCAAAATTTATCCTGAATTGCACGTAGGATTTAGCAAATGGTCTGAACAGTGATACAGTTTCTTCCTAGGCATCCAAGTTAAAGATAATTAGTGCCTTTTGTCTTTAATAATAATCATGTTTTTGACTGGGAGATATTTGTCAAGCCAGAGAGAATGAGCACTTCCACCAAAAGCAGCATAGACCAGACTATGAAGAAGAGGTAATCTGGAATGCGGCTATTATGGAATGGGGACTTTTGTATATTTAACAAGCATTCATCTAAATTGCAACATCAACTATAGCTGAATTAAGTGTTGGTGAAGTTAGAACAAACAAGAAGTGAGATGTTATAATGCTTAAAATCTCAGGGGGTCTCAGATATGAATCAAAATGATCATTATACTTAGATAACCTGAATGAGACTGCCAGTTTTTTTTGTTTTGTTTTGTTTTTTTAAATCACATTAATGTGGATCAACTACAGTAATGGAACTGGTCAAATGCCTCCCCTTACATGTAAGTGGGGACTATTATGTGCCCAAAGGTATATTACATTGATTCTGATTCCTCTGATAGCTGTGCAGTATCTGTACAGCCAAGAGTTAAAGCAAAGGGAGTTCAAATCCAAGGGTTCATTTTGCTTGCCAAAAAAAATATGAATGCACATTTTGAATTACAAGTTTGGGGGGAGAAAACATACTACTTATACAAAGAGTTTGGGAACAACTTATTAATGATAACCACATTTTATTATTTAATTATTCACTCAAATAATTGCTAACTATACTAAAGTGGTCAATGTGATGGCCATAATCTTTTTTCCAGCACATCTATTCTCGATTTACACATTGATTTCTACTCACCAATTTCTTTTCATTTTACTTATTACAAAATTTGAAGATTTTTAAGGCTAGATGGTATTTTCCTATGAAATTTTTAGTGCAATTTGATTCATCCTATTCTTTCACACTTTCTATGTGCTCTTTTCAAGAAAACAATTCCAAAAAATAGAATTGCTTTTTTTTTTGACAGAGTCTCGCTCTGTCGCCCAGGCTGGAGTGCAGTGGCAGGATCTTTGCTCACTGCAAGCTCCGCCTCCCGCGTTCACGCCATTCTCCTGCCTCAGCCTCCCAAGTAGTTGGGACTACAGGCGCCTGCCATCACGCCCGGCTAATTTTTGTATTTTTGTATTTTCAGTATTTCTAGTAGAGACGGGATTTCACCGTGTTAGCCAGGATGGTCTCGATCTCCTGACCTCGTGATCCACCCACCGTGGCCTCCCAAAGTGCTGGGATTACAGGCATAAGCCACCGTGCCCAGCTTAGAATTGCTTTTCTATCAGAAAGTAGAATTGGTTTCTGATAAGAAAATTCATTTGGGTAGATTTTAATTTTACAGCTGAAAGTTATTTAATGGCAGAAAATTTGGGTATTTTTACTATTTTTAAATCAGCCTTTTATTATTTACATGACATTAACAATGTTTAAAACAAAAGCAAAGAAATATACATCAAGACTGTATATTACATATCTTTGGCTCCCAAATTCTACTTCCACTACCTTAAGGAAATGATTGGATAAAAGCACAAAAATAAATGTGCAACATATGTGTCACAGTACTGTTTAAATCAACCAAAAATTGTACATTATGTAAATGTATCCATGAGTAAGGGATATAAAAATTGTGTTAAAAAAAAGTAAGTTCCAAAATAGCAAACATAATTTAATTCCACTTTCGTTAAAGAATGTACATAAATATAGAAAACACCATTAATGGTGGTTCAATTAAAGGGAGTAAGGACTTGCAATATATACTTTCTTCTTTATACTTTTATTTCCTAAACTTTTGGCAATAAGTGTGAGTTACTCTTGTAAACAAACAAAACCAACAAAATACATGAACCTAGTCTATGAATAGCAACATTCCAATTAGAAAATAATAAATTTTATGAATTACCTAATCAGGACTGTTTGATATGGATGGAAAATTTCTACCAAAACTGCAGAACCAGAAAGGCAACACTACTATTTAAAACACAAAAAGGTGGTGACGGAGAAGTAAAATCTGCTCTATGCATTATACCTTGATGATTGACAAGAGAGAATATAAATTTATTATTCAGGTGTACTCAATAAGTCAAGAACTATACTATCCACTGATTTTTGATTCAGTGAATGATCTCAGTAGATACTCCACTTAAGTATTAAATCAGTTTCACTTAGAAATTATTAAATAGGAATGAAGCCTACTGAGTAATTTACAGCCTATGTGTAACATTTTTCTTAATAACATACGTAGGTTTTAGCTATATCAGTCCCATCCTAGTACTTGTATACACATAAACAGCAACCAGAGCTGCGCCTTTCTCATTTGAATAGTCCTTTTTTTCCTTAGTCTGCTCTCAAACTCCTTAAATTTGAATCATTTCTATCTTCTTTACCAAATATAACTCTTAACACTTTCCCCCCATTTATTGGTTTTGGTCATGTTCTACTAGAAGTCAAATATGACATGGTGCTAGAGCTCCAGTACAAATAATTCCAGTCTCTGGGATATTCTAACATACCTTTAGCCATATAAAATATATAAATACGTGTTAATCATTTTTCTTTTCTTTTTTTCTTTCTGGTTTTTTTTTTGAGACAGAGTTTCACTCTTGTTGCCTGGGCTAGAGTGCAATGGTGCGATCTTGGCTCACTGTAACCTCCGCCTCCCGGGTTCAAAGTGATTCTCCTGTCTCAGCCTCCCAAGTAGCTAGGATTACAGGCATGTACTACCACACCTGACTAATTTTGTATTTTTAGTAGAGACAGGTTTTCTCCATGTTGGTCAGGCTGGTCTCAAACTCCCGACCTCAGGTGATCTGCCAACCTTGGCCTCCCAAAGTGCTGGGATTATAGGCGTTGAGCCACTGTGCTTGGCCGTTAATCATTTTTCTAGGTTAGTTTTCCATTTTTTCATTTAACTTTCTGGTTGTGGTTTAAAAATATTCAGTGTGTGAAACTTAAATTAGAAACCATGTAAAGATTTAACAGTAATACGTAGAATGGCTGTAAAGTACTCTTTCCACTGGCTGTAATCAAAGTATATACTAGCAGGTAGAGAGAGTTTTGAAAGAAGGAAGAAGAGGTCCTAGTGGTTACTAATATAATAATAACTAATATAAGAGTGTAAGCTGCTAATATTGGAAGCAATTAAATAAGGTGCAAAATTTAAAGAATTTTTTTTTTTTTTGAGACAGGGTTTTACTCTGTTGCCCAGGCTGGAGTGCAGTGGCACCACCATGGCTCAATGCAGCCTTGACCTCCCAGGCTCAAGCAATCTTCCCATCTCAGCCTCCAGAGTAGCTGGAACTACAGGTGTACACTACCATGACTGCCTAATTTTTATTTTTTTGTAGAGATGAGGGTCTCACTATGTTGCCAGGGCTGGGCTCTAACTCCTGGGTTCAAGAAATTTCCCCATCTTGGCCTCCCAAAGTGCTGGGATTATAGGCATGAACCACCACATCCAGAGATGAAAAATATTCTAATAGTCAAAGATATCAAAAAAAGAATTTGGCTGACTTGTGAAACAGATCAATATCAAGAGATGTTTCAATATTCTTGCATAGGTCAAATAATTAGGTAACTTTCAGTCACAATACATTCCAACTCTAAAACACAGAGTGGGTAGGAACATGAAAATAGATGATAAAGATTAGTTTGAGTAAAATAACATGGTTCTGTTACATCTCTGCCTACCTGTCCTCCATCTTTTCTTCCTCTTCCCTACCAATAAGTGTACCTGTTTCCTCTAGGCTAAGTGTTACACACCTTTCTAATACTTCATGCTGTCTTCTTACAATAATCTCTGTCAAAAGCTTTCACCAACAACTTCCTGCATGATTCCCAAATCTTTCTACCATTCCTGCTTCCTATCAATAACTCTAGAGTTATTTCCAACTGTTTAGCTTGTCCACGTTAATAGCTACTGAATAATCGC